TTATTCATTCGCCCATACACAAAACATTAATCTTTTAAATGAAGATGATTATTTTGTTCATGCATAAAAAATCAGTCGTTGTTGTTGTTTTTCTTAGGAAAAATAAAAACAACCGAATGAATGAATGAAGGAAAACTACTCTTTCATTGATGATGTTTTTTTTTTCTTTTCAAATGAAACGAAATTTCCATTTTGGCCCGAAAATTCTATTGTTTTTTCATTTGGCAAGATTCCAAGACCAAGACCTAGTTTAAGATTAAACAATGGCTTTCCAAAAAAATGCAAATTGAACCAGAATTGTGGACATCAAATCAAATCAAAAGTCATTTGTTTTTGTTTTTTTTAATATAAACAACAAAATAAAAACTTTAAAATAAAATTTTAAATTTTTCAAATCTTTCACAATAAAATTTAACAACAAACAAAAAATTTCATTTTTTTCAGTCTTTGTTTTTTTTTGGTTTACAGCAACAAGAAATCAAATCAAATAAATAGATGTGTGTTTGTGTTTGTGTGTATGTCGAATCAATAACCTGATTCGGATTGGTAAATTAATTCATTTTTATTTATTTAGTTAACGGAGGGTTAAAAAGGAAATTTTTTTTTTCCATTGTTTGTTTTGGATGCAAAACCATGATTGATAGGTGTGTGTGTATGGTGTTTAAAATCAACGACAGCAAAGATCAATCAAGAGAGAGAGAGAGAGAGAGAAGATAATTTCATTATTTCGATGATGATGATGATGACCACGATGATAATACTGATGATTATTATTTCGGTGGTGATGATGATTCCCGACAATAATCATTTCTACATTTTGAGTTTTTCTATGGTGTGTGTTTGTGTTGGTATGTGATCCGAATGAATTAGAATGAATGAATATGATTAACGACGTCGTCGTCGTCCAGGTCCATTAGCAAAACTTGCAGCAGACATACCCATCATATGTTTAGCAGCTTGACTACCGGAAAATCCTCTGGATAATCCCAAATCAATTCCACGTTTATTTGGTCCAGTATTTTTATCGGAAAGTTGTTGTTGTAAATTATTCGATGATGATGATGATAAATGTGATGAATCAATACCAACTAAAATATTTTGAATCAAATTATCCAATGTACTGATTAATTCTTCGGGATTTTCTACTTCAACATTTACAGGATATTTCCTATTTAAAAAAAACAGAATCGTACAACAGAATCGAATAATTGAATTAAATTCTACTTCATTTTTTATTACCCTTATATACTATCATCAACCCCCACCACCACCACAGAATTTAATCAAAAAAAAAATTTCAATGTTTAAGGTAACGGTTTTAAAGTTCGAAATGGTTCGTTTTTTTTTACAACTCTGTTTACTACGAACATAACATCTATTCTTATTATTAGTGGGTTTTTTCTAAGAATATTGATGATGATAATCAAATAAATCAATTTGATTCTTGTGTTAAACTTTCATTTTGGATTTTCATTCTGTCAATGAAGAGAAAAGTTAAATGAATTTTCTGAAGAATTTTTCGGAAGTTTTTTCGTTGTTTGAAATCTGAATCTTTCAAAAACTTGTACAAGGAAGGAGAATCGTTTTTCTTCATTCGTTTAAAAATGCTGAAATTCAATATAATCTAATTAAAATGGCAAAAAAAGAAAGAAAGTTCTTTTCTTCTTTCGAAAACCCATATCTCAGCCAGATTTTTATTTAATTTAATCGATTTATTTAAGGGTTGATGATGGGTTGATAGCAAGCAAGCAAATGAAAATCAAATGAAAAAAATGCGAAATTTCAAAGCAGAAAAACCATTAAAAAACTTTTACCTTGTCATCATTAAACCAACATTAGCTGGATATGCAAATGATGTACCGAAATAAGTNTATTGGTCATTTTTGCTGTCGATGATGATGACGACGACGACAATGATGATGATGATGATGACGTTTGTGATGATTTTAATGTTGATAATTTGTTGAGCATCGTGATTTTTTGGTTAAAATTCTGAAAAAAAATTTTAAAAAATTTGAATAAAAAATTACGTAAATGATTATGTGTGGTTGCGTGGTTGTGGAGAAAGAGCAAAACGTTTTGCGATTTCCGTTGATTTAATCAAATTTTGTTTCAGACAAAAATTTAGTCCGGATGCACTAGAAAACACACACACACGTTTTTAGCATGCAAAGTTTGGTTAAAAAATCAAGCGACAAACGAAATTTCCTTTCAAAGTTTTTTTCGGAGAAAATTTTTCAATTTGCCGCTGCTGCTGCTGAATTCTGATTCATTAAATTCTGACATTCATTCATTCATTCACTGATTGATTGATTGATCAAAGAAATGGATCAAGGATGATTCTTTCATCGTCTTTTATAACAAAATTCTCAAGAATTTTGTTCACACAATGATTTCCTTTTGGCATTTCTAATAATAATTTTATCAGTTGATTTATGAGTGTGTTGATGGTGTGTTTGGTGTGATGGTTTGATGGACCAATACACAACAACAATGGCTAAAAATGGACAACATTTTTAATAATTCAGAATGAAATAAAGAGAGAAGTGTTTTCTGTGTGTGAATATAACCCAAGATGATCATCAATAAATCAAGACAATATTCTGAAGGAATTCTGCTTGCTTGGTTGTTTGGTCGTTTGCATCTTATTCCATTAAGGAAGAAACAACGAAAATTTAGGTTGCCGAACGAGAATATTAAATCCGAAAGAAAAGATTTAAAATTCATCAAAACAAAAATAGCTAATGGGCAAGAATCAAGAATCAAGATTCTTTCGAATCAAATATTCATGGTCATTTAATATAATTGGGTTTTTTCTTTCTATTCTTCTTTAGCTTGTTTTTCAATTGGATTTTTTCTCTAATCAAAAACATTAAAGAAAGAAAAAACATTATCATTGGGAAAAGGCCAAACAAAACAACAGCAGAAAATTACATTTTCGTAATTCAGAGATTATTTCGTTTCGTTTGGTGAATAAATAAAAGAGTGAAGAGAACAAACAAACAAACAAAAAAATGCCCAGAAAAACATTAACATTTTTCTTTTAATTTTCTCAACCAAAATACACATAGACACAGACACTTGGACAAACATTTGATCAAACAAACAAACATAATCAAAAAGAAATATCTTTGATTAAAAAAAAATAATACTAAGCAAATCAACCATGAATGTTTTGTCGGGGTTAACAAAAAAAATATCATAATCAACAAGATTAATAAGTGTTGAGACTTTTGATATTTGACTTACCCTTCTTCTTCTTCTAGTTTTTTTTTTGACAAGTGATGCGAATTATTCGTTCAAATAAAACAAAACACGATGTTTATTTGTTTGGTCGGTTGGTTGGATGACAATAATTGCTATTAGGATGCGTTTGTTTCAGCTTCTGTCTGTCGGATATTATTAAGATTTTCTTTTTCGGTTATTATTTCGGTTATTTTCTCACCATATTTATACTCTTTTTTTCCTGGTCGATTTATCTCATTTGAAAGAATCGCATAGTGGAATTGCGCGCATTCAAACATCAAAACTATCATTTCAATTTTTCGTAAGAGAATTTCCCT